ATGTTCCTTCTTATTCACTCTTGAATATATCTCTATCTACCAATCTATGAATTTATATGCATAAATGAAGAGGATGTGGGGTTTTTTTTTTCTCTTAAGGGGTTAACCACGACAAGGATAGAAACCCTCCCCAGCGATGTACCTTAGAGCAGAAGTGTTACCGAGAATTTGCGTCATCTGCTGTGGTGTGAAGACAGGCTCTACCCCACTTTGTGTTCTCTCTGTAGCATTTGCAGAGAACTGATATATGATTATAGGGGTGAAACACAGTGGGACTCAGATCACATAAATTTAGGCTGATTCAGTTGTCCATGTGAAGTTGTATAGTTTCATTCCAGACACTTCAGGTGGCTTCCAGGTCAGACATGAATTCCAGTCCATTCCTCTTTAATGAAATATCTTTTCTGCTCAGGACACCCTCAGGGCCAAGGAGTCTGATATTTTCTCATTTCAGGATCTGATGCTGTCTCATTAGGTTTGCACTGGCTGAGCATTCATAAAGCACTGAGTGTGGTTTCATGGCCTATAGCTAAGGGTATGATGATATTTAAAGTGTCTTAAAGTGTTTTAGGTGTGGTGCAGAAGGCTGTCACTCTTCTGAAAATGCTGTGCCAGATTTGCCAGCTCTGTGTCTGCATCTGGAAAGCCCACAGTATCTCAAATGTGAATAAATGCTGAGTTTTAGGCAACTGAATTGAGTCCTGAAAACTCGGGGTGGTTGGGCACTGAGCAGGCTCCCAAGGGCAGTGGTCACAGCACCAGCCTGACAGAGCTCAAGACATGCTTGGACAATGTTCTAAAGCACATTATATGATTCTGGGGTGTCCTGTGAAGAGCCAGGGGTTGGATTTCAGTGGTCCTTGTGGGGTTTCTTTCAACTCAGGATATTCTATGGTTCTGTGAATAAGTCTTATCTAGAGCCTTGTAAAGGCACAATTTCTCCCTTGCAAATATATACCTAAATAATAAAATTAAATAAAATTGTATCAATATTAAATAATTTGGAGTATCAACTCTTCTAAAACCTATATATTCTCTAACTAGTGAAATGTCACTGTCACGCAGACTGGATGGTTTCTTGAAGCCTTGAGCCTCACGACAGGCAACCTACAGAAAGCAGTCCACAATGAAGAGCTTGCAGAAATCTTCTGGGTTCTTGCTGTGTCATATCTTGAGCTCAACTGGCCCAGCACCATGTGAGTTTCACCTGTCTGCCTTGGGCAGACCTTGCTCAAATTTGATGTTGCTCTCCCTTCTGGGACTGAGGATAACTTGGCAATTTTTCTGAAGAAGGCAAGTGTCAACCCAATTTTAGAGACTGTGGAGCTCTTTGTCACTGATGTGTGTTTGTTGAGACACGGTCACCTAAGTGACAAGGTGACAGCTCCATGAACTGCTAAAGCCCACCAAGATTTAATTCTCTTAAATTTTTCTCCTCATTACTAGCATATTCCCTGTAATTATCATCACTTTGTGGCACTGATGTTCTTTTTTACACTGTTCTCCTGAACACAATATGACCAGCTATCATAGGTATAATTCTTTCTTTTATCAGTCACAATTATTTGAAAAAGTCTGATTTTATTATATTTTAATTAGCACTGTTACCATATTGAAGCTGTTTCCTGTCTGGACTATGCAGAGACATGACCAAGAAGAACACTTGTGAGCAAAAAATCCTGTATGCTCAGACATGCTTAAACCTGTAGTGCTACCATGATTAATCCTTGGATGGTCCTGTGTGAGGTGCAATGGCCAGTAAAAACAGCTTTGGTATGTATCATCATATGTTTGCCTGATCTGTTTTCAAATAAAATCTCTTTGAAAGACACTGAATAAAACATTAGCAAATGTTCCTAGATGTTTTCCAGGTAAATAGATACAGGTAAATCTATGCCTGCTATCTAAAACTTAATCTTCTATAGCCTGTACATACTCTTCAATGTCTACTTGTATTTCCATTTACTTCTAAATCATACTTACTTCTAAAGATGTTCCTTCTGAAACTCCACAGGTTTGGAGCATATCCATGCTTCTTCAAAAATCCCCTCCAATTCGGAGAGATCCATTGACATTGATAATTAGAATTAGAAATATGGAGTCTAAACTATTGTTTAGACTTTTTGTGCAAGGTCCTGAATGACCTCTCTGACAATCTGCAAAATCCCCAATGGCACAGGTATTAAAGATCAGATTGATATGCACATAACCAGTACCAATTTTGTACCCAAATGCTTTGTCAGAGACTTATCTTCCTCTTGCAATTTACATCACTGAGGCTGAAAATGTGACATAAAATCTTAGGGTGTGCAATTTGTTGGCTGGGCTCCTTTGGTTAAGGCAATAAGTTAATTTATAGCAAAGTTTAGATTCTATTGGCCTTTTGCATTTAAAGAGAAATGCTAAAGCAAAGCTTTCTTCTCAAGTAAAATTCTTTTATTAGCTCCTCTGTTGCTTATTTAATTGGTCTTCAAGAGGAGCAAGGTAAAACCAAACACTCTGTCCTTTCTGCCTAGAATGCTCACGAAGCAGAGCCTCTCACTTGGCAGAAGCCACTGCCTGAGTAAAAAACAAGGTGTGTATGCAGTTCTATGACCAGCCTCTGCCTTTGGGGAGGTTTCCTATGGGCTACAGGCCCGTGGGTCAGTGGATCACTTTCAGATCTGTGCATTGCTGTGCTGAGGTTTCTATCCCTTATCTTACACTCTGTCATTTTGACCATTTGCCTTCTGCAGTGACTTTGTTCCTTTTTCCTTCGTGCTGCTTTCTTTGGTGCTTGTGGTGAGCATCAGATGTGATTTTAGGATACCGTTTCAGGAGACCAATTTACACTGCTCCTCTAAACCTTCCAGGTCTGCTGGTACTGAGTTCGGGCAGTCTCAGCTCAGCTGAAGGGCTGTTTTCTTGAGCTGGGAAGGGAGGCAGGATAGAAGTGCAGAGCTGACAGCTGCCAGAAGGACAGCAAGGCAGAGCTGTCACACTTTCCCTGTCTTCTCCTTGAGCTACCACATCCCCAATTCCACCCCAGTGTGTCTGGACACATCTCCTGGTGGTTGGGAGGCAGATTCCCAGGGACTTGCTGGGGAAAGGGCAGAATGTATGGTGGGGATACCTATTTTATTTTCTTCTCCGGTACCAGTGCCTCATGGTACTTACCTGTTTGTCTTTTCTGCCTCAGCTATTCACCCGGTGTCCCTGTTTCCACTTATTTGCTATGTGATGCCAGCAGGAAATGTAGTAGCACAAGTAATAAATACAAGTAGATGTAGTAAACTCAGGGAGTCCTCAAAGCCTTGCAGCAAATCAGCATTCCTTCTATGATGTTAGTACTTGGCAGAAAGAATCCAGCATTAGATATTATGCTCTGGGAACACAAGCCTTCTATTGTTTGGCCAGAGCATGAATCTGTTTCCTATTTTGTCTCTTATGCTGCTTTCCAATCCAGCTATTTATTGGGAGGGCAAAGCCATAAAGGACAAACATAAATTATGCCTTTAGGACTCTCTTTGCAGAGATTACCTGTGGATAGTGTCCAGTAGGTGAATAATTCTGGAATTGGATGAAGAATGGAGAATAACTTTGGGGGAGCTGGAGCTGGCTGTTTTAAGAGCCAGTATGAATTCGAATAGTAATTTGTTTTCTTTTAAAAGAGCTTTGGAAGAGTCTTCTGAAACATGAAACGTTCTGCACCATGTGCATGTTTTCAAACTGGGTTCTAACTAATAAGATTCTGTGACACAGAAATAAACATTTCTATGTTACAATCTCGTTCAGCAATGAGATTGAGACTGAGAGCTGCTATTCTGTAATTCTCTAATAAAAGTGAGACCTAATTATATTGGGCAAGTTATATTTCAGATTGTTTCTAAAGACAATGAATATGGTAGCAGGTTTTGTAACTTCTTCACACAAGGGCAGACTGGGGTTTTTTGTAGTGGTTTACTAGCAAGGTGTGCAAGACATGCATGTAGACACAGAGGTCTGCAACACAGAAATGCCTTTCTCACCAGTTTATCTTTTTTTGTGACCAGAGATTAGATTTCTTTTGTGTTTGGCAGTTTCAGAGTCTAGGGTTTTTTTCTATCTGAAAGCTGCACCCCCCAAAATTATTTTTAACAAGATACAAATTGCTTTGTCTTACATGTCTGGTCTTAGCTTGTCTTTTATATCCTATATTCCATAGTTTGTAAAATAAGAGATATTTGACAGGTCTCAATGGCTCCTGTTAATTTACATATGAATATTTATCAGTCTTTTAACTGAAGATATTACCTGGGCAGTGGAATTCTGTGGAGCAATTGCTGGCTACTGATGTACCTTGGTCCATAGGAGTGACTTTTGTACTTTATGTGCCCTGAGTGTACTCAATCCAGATCCACAGTTTAGGAGCAACTTTTGAACTCCACATGCCCTAATTATCCCTTCACACTGGTGTTCTCTGAAGCCTTTTCAGGTTACATTCATTCTCCCATTTTTTTCTACAATTTAAAGATGTCCAGTTTAATTCTTCTCACTTTTTTTTCTTTCTCCTTTTTTTTTTTTCTCTTTTAAGCCAAAAAGTGCATTGAACACCCTGAGACTTCTAGTTGTTATTTAGGGATTAGGCTTTATTTGGGTTTTATTAGGAATTTCAAGAATTGGGCAGGTTTTTCTTTAAGAAATTGGAAGACAGAATCTTGAAAAATCAATCTGCAGTAAAATAACACAATATTAACACTGTAAAGGGAAATTTCAAGAGAGGGAGCTATTAGTAAAAACTTTCAAACCCATTTCCTGTAGGGGGCATTTGAATACTGATGAGTGCATGGTGATTTACAGTGCTCCTGACAGCAAATAGCAGCAGCTGACACCTGAGAGCTCCTCTGCTCCCCTGCTCTCTCTAATTGCTCTTACCGTACTAACAAGATGCAAGTACCCACCTAAGAGTAAAAATATCCAGATTCCCAGTTCCTCCAGATATCACATAATATAATTGCACTTCTCTTGCATTTCGGGTGGCTGCATAGACATTGTTGGAGGACATGAAGTGCATCCTCATTCCTGGCCTCATATGGCTGCTATCCAGGACAAGAATTTAGGTGTTTGTTGTGGAGGAGCTCTTCTGGAAAAGCAATGGGTTTTGACAACAGTACCTTGTGAGTCAGTATCTTAAAATGGGGCAATTTTAATTCTTCATTGAAGTGAGACATGGTATGCAAGCTTCTAAGTGAAGGAAGATGAGTATTGATTTTTTAAATAGGTTGTTAAATAGCTGCAGTTCTCTCCCTGGAATTATCCTAGAACTTGTTATTGTATTTAGTTGCTATAAACTACTGATCTGCATTGCAGTTACCTTAATTATGTGAGCCTGTCAAAGTTACAGCATAAATAATGTGCTGTTAAAAGACCAAATTAATTATTTATGCATGTGAAAAAGCAATGTCTTAGAGAAGGGAATATGTCCCAAGGATTTTAAACAAATCTTATGTGTATGCTTGGAACTAAGCCTCAAAATACCCTGAGAGAGATTAATTTGAATTAGATGTGGACATTATTCCTCTCATATTGAGTGACTTAGGCTCACAAACCCAGAATGTCACTCATGTCATGTCCTGTGACAAGGAACCTTGTCCTTTTGACAAATTAAATGTGAGCAGAAGCATCTCTTCCCCAGGTGGTATGCTCTAGTGTTGAACAGCTGACTCGAGGTAAGGGGGACATCTACTGTTCACATTAGGAAGTAAAATGCCCTATTTTTCTTAAAATGTTCCCTGAATTGTATTTTAGTTCTGCAATATTTCCTTCTTTTTTTCACAATCTAAAAGGAAAAAAGTTACAATAAACCTGTGCAAACCTGACCTCCTTAAACACAGTGTGGGCAGGTTGGCCAGCCTTCTGTGAGTTTGTCTGAAATAGAGAACACAGTTCCTTCAGAGTGAACTTGACTTTCACTATTTTTCAGCTGAATCAGATGGGATTGTAAGGGTAGAAATATTAATTCCTAGCATTCTCTGTTTAGCTAATTTACAAAACATAACCAAGTCTTCCTTTTTGGAATTAAGGGACGTTTAAATGGGATCTGGAGTCTCTTATTCTTCAAACAATATGTCAGAGATAGCCAGTCAGATATATTTATAAAACTTCAAATTTTTAGCTGTTCAGTGGAAAGGGTATTACCTTTTTGGAATTAAGGGACGTTTAAATGGGATCTGGAGTCTCTTATTCTTCAAACAATATGTCAGAGATAGCCAGTCTCTGTATATTTATAAAACTTCAGATTTTTAGCTGTTCAGTGGAAAGGGTATTGTCTGTCTCTGATCCTGTGGAGAATGTGCTCTGGTAACTGATCTGGGTTTCTTACATCACATTGTTTTGGTCTGACTTTAAGTCTTTACCATTGAGGCAAGTTGAACCAGCTTGGTTTCCCTCTCCTAAGCTGTAAAACAATGCTCACACAAAACCCACCAACACCTGTTCCATGCCTGGTGCAATTGCAGTGCATATAAAACTTCCTAATTAATGGATCACATGTGTTAATGATGTCTGAAGTAATTTTCTTTCTTAGGCAAAACAGCATGGATTCAGCAATGTGAATTTCTTTGTGGCCTGTGAAACACCTGTTAGAGTCACAGAGACGGAGTTTTGAGAGACATATCATTCTCTCTGAGGAAGTGTGCTTTGTAGATAAAAAGAGAAATTTTGGGACTACAGCACTGCCTTTGCAGATATTTTCACAAATAAACTTCCACGTATAAATAAATGAATTATGTCTTTCAGTGATATATGCATCTTGAATGAAGAAAATTGTTCTTTTATAGTTTGTATTGATAAAGTCTTTGTTCTGGCTTGAATAAATTTTCCTATTTATAGTGAGATTATGTTCTGAAAATTAAGCACAGGAAACTGGCAGTATGTGTTCTGCAGTGTCAAATTTTTGGGCTGGATTAAGTTTAGCAGGGCAAAATGAAGAAAGACAAACATTAATAAATATATCTCTGATGATACTTATAGAGCTTGGAATGTAGCGGAATTTATTGGTTGTCAACTCTTAATGTTTAACAGCAGGAAGTGAATGTATAACTCTTTGAATTTTAACATTCTCCCTTTTTTTATAATTTTTCACTGCTGGGGTGTCTTGGGTTAGGCAACACACACCCTTCTTCCTTAATGTGCTGAATGCTGTGTTTAGAAAATTAAGGACAAAAAGCTTATTAATAGTAAAGATAATCATATGCATAATGCTCAGGATAAATGTTGAGTATTGATGTGTGTTCTGACATGCTACTGATGCCAGCAAAGTTTGTCTTTGCAAGATTAGGTCATAAATCCAAGGGAGACCTTTCAGAGATTAATGAAAGGCATCAGTAGCAGCTGTCCTTGTGCAAGCAATTCCCATTATAAAGATGGGAGGCTCTTTCACAAAACTAATTCCAAACTCTGAAAATCTCTGGAGATCAGTTATCATACAATTATTTCACAGAAAAAGAAGCTCATATCAAAACATTGAAATGAATGATTTCCTGCTCTATCTGTTTTAATTCCGTTGTTGTAAAATGAAATGGTATTGTGTTGCATGTCTTTTGATTATCCTCAGAAATGTTGCTCAGTTCCTGTAGTGACTTTCTCTTCCTATATTTTCTATAAATTACAGAATAGATGAATTGGAAGACAGTTGTTCTTGGAGTTCATTGGACATCCATTCCTGAAGAAGCACAGCAGATATTTGTGATTATGGAAACCTTTCCTCATTGTCAGTTTGACCGGCCTCCCTTTGATTATGACATAATGCTCCTCAAGGTATTGTTTTAATTACTGCTGTATTTTTGTGAAAGGACTTTTGCTGATGATCATTTTGGCTACTCTTTGATACTGAAGAGTACATTGTTTAGATAACAATATAATAGAATAGTCTACTTTTGGTAGTATTAACCTAGATGACTTAGAGGATCGCTAGGTCTGTGAGCAGATATGATATTTCAAGCCTGTTCTGTGCTCTAAAACTCTCTTTTTAATCCATTCACTGCAGCAACCCCTCCAAAACACAAAGCACATTCTTCAGTAATTTTTCAAAGGCAATGCTGAAGGGATATATGCAACAGAGTCTGGCTCACATCTCTATCCCATAGTTAGATCTTGTGCCGGACTAAGTAAAAATGGAGATGAAACTTACTGTTAATTTTCTGGTGTAAGCAGGTAAAGTGAGAGTGTGGATAATCCAGGACATGCAGAGTCAGCTCTAGGAGCACAGAGTGGTCACAAAGTGGAGGAGGCTCAGGACACTGCAGAATGAAGGATGGAAAATGTCCTTGCCAACATTGTCATCTGATGCCAAAGTAGGGCAGAGCTATGAGAATTTGAATTTACAGGGAGGTGCCCCTGCCTAGCTCTAGGAGCACAGAGTGGTCACAAAGTGGAGGAGGCTCAGGACACTGCGGAATGAAGCATGGAAAATGTCCTTGCCAACATTATCATCTGATGCCAAGTGGGTCAGAGCTATGAGAATTTGAATTTACAGAGAGGTGCCCCTGCCAGTAGCAGGGAGGTTGGGACTAGATGATCTTTAGGGTCCCTTCCAGCTATAACATTCTATGATTCTATTATTCTGTGACTGGAACTTGTTTTTCAGTATTTAGATGGTATCGCTGGTTTGGCATAGCAATGACAGGGAGGAAGGTAACCACTTCCCTCTCTGTGCTAGCTGGAACAACTGCAGGCATCTGTGGCTCAAGCACCTGACCATGGTTCATCTCTGAGGAGCTCCTTCCCCTGGATGTCAGTAAGCATTCTACTGCTGCTTCCTTGTCAGTGGAGACCAGGCTCATCTCGCTGGCTTCTCCTGTGGCCACTTGACAGGAGCACCAGGGTATCTGTGAACACAAAACCAAATCTATCACTAGGAAGTAATATTTCTGGAGCTGAAAATCACAACTCTTTCCAGAATGATATGGATATCTCAAAATCCTTTGAATTTTACACAGAAACAGGGATAGTATTAGTAACAGATCTTACCTTCTGTCTCTACACTTCGGCAGTAATGGAGTATTCAGTGGCTTGGAATAAGCTTTCCATCTTTGGAACTTTCCAAGTTCCAGCACTGGCAACAATAACTGCAAATATATTTTTAAATAAATTTTTGATTTGTTGGAACACATGTTTTGAAAGGTATAAAGCCAGAATTGTTTAGCTGAGAACCTTGTATCACCCTGTATCGCCCTGTGAAATGAATCATGGTGCAGTGATCATAAGACTGAAAATGTATGTTTGGTGCCTGTGAGCCCTTACCAAGCACACTGAGGATATATGTCAGGATTTGGTTGTGTTTTCATTTACTGACCTCTGCTGAAGGATGGATCTGTCAGGCAAAGACCAACAAAACACAGGCAGTCTGAATAATTTAACCCCTTTAGAATCTCTCAGAGCAAAAATTGGCAGTCTGAATAGACTGAGAGCTGGTTTTTCCTCAATTATGTTGCTGCTTTTGTGTCTAAATGCTTATAGTTTTGTTTTCATCTTTGTTCGTGGGCACATCACACTGTGCTTTGAGAATTTTCTGTCAGTCAAGCACCAGAATCTGATTTCAATACTGAAGTTTAGTGGCAACAGGACATAGATCCAACAGAATCTGATTTCAATACTGAAGTTTAGTGGTAAGTTATGTTTGTGAACAGGACATAGATCCAACAGCCTAACTCCCATGTAGGTTTTACATTTCACACTCTATCCAATGGAAAGCTGGGCTTGAACTCACTACTGCTACCACAGATGGGAAAATGCTGTACTGCTACTATGGAAAGTCTTGTGAATTTTCAAAGGGACAATTAAGCTCAGGATCAGTTCCTAAGTAATGAAAAGTGATTTTTAAGGGAAGTGATGGTAAAATGAGACTAAATGTTAATTGAAGCTATGTGATATTTCCCTTCCCTTCTGCATAAGAAATCTAGTTTTTCCTTATTTTTCCTTCTTTTTTCTTTTTCTTTTTTAGTTGAATGATACTGCCAAGCTGAATAAATATGTGCAACTTCTGCCTCTGCCTGACTTTTTTGAAGATGTTGAATCTGGCACACTCTGCCAGGTGGCTGGCTGGGGAGACACATCACCAGGAAAGCCATCAAAATATCTCTGTAAGACAACTCTTAAAATTGTCAATAGAAAAAGCTGTGACAAACATTATGCCAGTGACCCAAAAATAACCAAAAACATGTTGTGTGCTGCAGGGAAAAGTAAATTATATCTGAGTGATACTTGTAAGGTAAAAAGCAAAGTTACGAGGGCGGGGGGCATATATTTAACAATGGTTTTCCCTTTTCACTGGGAACAAACAGTGTTAGACATCTTAGGAGGCTGATCATGTTTTAAGTGATTTTAACCACATTTGTGAGAGACTTTATTGCTGTGAAAAGGACTTGTTAAAACTTTATTTAGTTTAGGTCAGTGTACTAATCAGGATCAAGAGCACGGGAATTTGAGCTGGGATGATCTATTAACTTCAGGTATATTTCATTAGCTATGGTGCTCTCCTTAGACACCACCTGTAGTTATGGGAGAAAAAGCAGAGCTATCAAAGTCTCAATCATCTGATCCTTTCCAGAAGTCAACATCTGAATAGTACAGAATTACCCAAAAGGGTTGTTTGGATCTTGCTTTTGATGTTCTCTGTGCTGAATCCAGAAGGGACAATCGATAAAGAGATGGGAATCAATTTATACCAACAATAAAAAATGTATTTTGAAATAGAATTATGATAGCACTCTGCTGCTCCACAGCATTTGCATCAAAGGTCCCTCAGGTTTGGAAAGCAACCTCTCTTTATTCCTCACCCAACTCCCATTGAAGGATGTAAGCCAACTGCTCCATTTCATAGGCTGGAGAAGGTTAGAGACAACATTTCCAAGTATGCCTGTGCACTGCAGGTGGCACTGCATGCTGCCCTGGTGAGAAATGGACTCACTGACAGCTGCTTCTGATTTTTCTTCCAGGGAGATTCAGGTGGGCCATTAATCTGTGCTGGTCAGTACTGTGGGATGGTTTCTTTTGGAGAAGAATGTGAAAATACAAGCATACCTGGAGTTTATGCACAGCTGACTGAAGAATATATTGACTGGATAAAAAGAACAACTTCCAGTTAGACAGATCTATGAAACAAGAGCATTTTAGTAAATATTGTGTTGTGCATTAGAGCTGGATGCTGCTGCTTTACTGTACCACCTTTGAAGTGTACCTCCCAGCTTTACAGCTTTGCTGACACCACCACAGCTTTCTGTGAGCAGCTCAAAGTATCCACATTTGTACAGATACTACCTTTACTAAGCTTTAGCAGGAAACTGCCACGTAGAAAACATAATTTGTATTGGATTCCACTCTACTTCTTACTAGGATGGGAAAGTATTCATTACTTTTCATGGGATAAAGCAACATTTGTTAATGTGTACTTACACAAAAATTCGGTTTCAAAATGATAGTGAATGTGAAGTCTGCTGAATGAGAAAAAATAGAAAAGCTTAAAATGTTCAAATATTTATCTGTGATGTTATTAAACCCCAAATATATAATTTTACCATTATTCAATATTTATTTATCTAAGTTCAAATTAAAGAAGTTAAAATATTAAACAGAGAGAAACCATTTTCCAATTAGTCTTCGTTATAAAGATACAAATATGGAGATAAAAATAATGCCTGTCTTTTTTCCTTAGATTTTTTCCTTCTTTATTTTAATAATTTTTTAAATTTGTGCATGTGTTTTCTTTTTTGGGGGGAGGGGTGGGTGTTTGGTCTGTTTTTTTTTGTTTATTTGTTTGTTTGTGCTTTGTTTTGTTGATCAAATAAACTAAATCGTCTCACAGCTTGGTTCATAATCTCACATTTTCAGTTAATAATTTGCTCGAAAAGTGTAAATACCAACTGTAATAGATGTAATTATAGTTCTTTAACACAGCTCCTAACATCTGTCAAAACAAACAGGATTCTGGCTATGGATTTCAGCAGACTTCTAGTAACAGAAGCACCTGGTGTGTTTCTGGAGAAAACTGTGGTTAGCTTGCTGTACTACATCATCTTCTAAATATTTTCTAGGTCTTTTTAACTAACAGCTTTGAAGTGACCATCTGCAGAGTTTCTCTCTGTGCTTATTGCACTAACATGCACTAAATACTGTAAACTTTGAGATGTTGCAGAGGCATGAATAAATAACTCCAGAACAACAGCCTACTGGCTTTGATTATTGACCAGAAGCCGTGCCACAATTCTGAGCAGTGCAGAGCAAGCTCACAGAGGATATGTATGCAGGAAAGAGGCAACAGAACACCACAAAACAGGGTCAGTCGTTGGCCATAGTGCAATAAAACCTGCCACTGTGGTGTGTCGGGGCTTAGATCCAGTTCTTGTCCAAGGCTGTGGGAAGGAAGATCTTAGAAGATGTCAGTAGGATTTGGATCAGTACTGGAATACAGAGAAAACTGGGGAAAACTGAGGGAAAAAGCAAAAGATACATAAAAGTGGAAAGAATTTTTCTCACCAAGAATTGTACCATTGTTCTCACTTTACAGCTGGGGGTCTCGAGGACGTTGCAACACAAATTAGTCCCTTTTAACTTTGTGAGGTAAATGACAGGAGGCTTTTCACACCATGCAGCCCAGTGGTCACAAACTGGTGTTCAGCTTGGTGAAGGCAAGACTTTCACTCCCTCACTCATGTGAACAGTGGCTGACTCTGTCACTGATTGAAAAAAGTGAGTGATAAAATCTAGAAACCATAATCAGCAGGCTCATTACAGTTCAGATGGTGGGCTTCCTGTGTGTGATCTCTCTTCATTCACATAATCTTTTTTCTGTTTATGGATGATGGAGCATGTGGAAGGGTGTTACTGCTAGGCCTGACTGCTCCTGCCAAGCCCCTGAGGCTCCCTCCCACCTTTACCAGAACCCATCTCAGTGCCCAGGGCCAGCAGCTCCTCCTCCAGCAACAGTTATGGAGCAGCAGCCTTGACTCAGTTTCTGTCCACCCTGAGGCTTTGCTCCCTCCCGGTGCAATAGGAGGGAAGTCTTTGCTAGCTTTGAAATGCCAGTGTCTTGAGAGAATGCCTGCCCTCCCACCCCTCTCACTGAGGAGGTGCACTTTGGACTGGAGAGAGTGCAGGAGTCCTGCAAAGTGTCCCACAGTCCTGGATTTTGTTAACACCTCTGAAAACACGTGGTGGAAGGATAACTGTTTCTGCAGCCAGAGATGAGCAGAAGAAAGGTCCAGAAAAAGGAGGTGACCTCTGATGTCACTCACTGCTAAAAGCACTGCTGGGCTTTGATTCTCAGAACTGAAATCAAAGCAGGAAAGCCACAGAGAGTAGCTCCATGTACGTTACAGTTTTGCAATGACAGACACCAACAAAGCCAGAAAAAAATAAGCTGGAAACACATTTTTTACCAGATTGAGAAGAGCTAATTTCCAGCAGCTTGTGGCAGAGCTTACTAAACATATTAACACAACATTTGCAATTCCACATTCACTCAGTGAGAGAAATTTAGTCTTGTCTCTTTTAACCCAACCTGCCTTGGCGCTAATCTCTAGGTGCCTGTGAGGTGTCCTTTTGAGCAGTACCTGCCAGCTCCTAAACATTGGCTTCTTCTATCAGACCAGCTCTCTTGTGCTATTTTTATCCCCACTGGAAATTTATGAGTGGATTAAAGGATCCTGCCTTGGGAATCCTTCTGCCCTTGGCCAGGCATATGTTCCTGTCTATGCTCGCACTTCTCAGCCTTGTCTGTGCAGAGCTGAGGTCTCTGTTTTGCCTCTCTGTTTTTACTGAGGTCTTCCAGGTAAGCAATATTTCTTAAGGATTATTTTCTGAGATCTGACTTGCTTGTTGCCTGTCACAGAGTCATGACTGGGCACAGAGAGCAGCCCCTAAGGCTGGCCAGGCTGTGCAAAGGGCTGACAAGTGGCACTGGCATGTGCTGTATGGCGCTGAGCAGAGCACACAGTGCTGACACACAGCCCTTGCTCTGTCTGTGAGAGGGGTCTGACAGCTCACAAACATCACACTGGGGTGCAGAGGCCAGTCAGGTTTGGTCCTTAGGTTCATACTGTTCTTGTGCTGGGCAGTAGTGCCTGATGTTTTGTACTAGCTTTGGCTGTACATGTAGTGCACTGCGTGTTCAATTTTTTGTTAATAATTTTTTTAAACAAGCTTCTATTTCTCAGTACAGAGGGCATCATTATCTATTGTCAGCAACTGTTGTTTCCTGAAACTGTGGTGGTATGCCTGAAGCATGGACTGACTCCACAGCTTCTAGTTAAAGCCTTTGTTTTATCTTCTGACTACAGAGCTGCCTGCTATCTAGCAAGCTGTAAAAGTAACCTTTCTTTTGGGCAATGCAATCTGGCATCAGATAGAAACATTTAGAAATAGAACTAAAACAAAACAAGACATCAGATTTTCAAGATAATTTTCTGGAATACTTGCCAGAAGAATTGGTTCATCATAGTCAGACAAATTATAGCAAGTAATTTTCCTATGTCTGCTATGTCTTCTAATTACAGATTGGTAATTTAAAAAATGTATCCTAATTTTATTAGTGACCCGACAGCTGGTTCAGACACTTCTACCCCGGTATGCTGATAACCCCACAATCTTCTGAACAAGCTTCTTTTGGATTGATTTATGCATTTCATAATTAATGTCTAACAGATTAGGTTTAATTTAATTGCAATTCAATTCAAGATGACACAGGTTTTTTTGAAGCAAGGAGTCACAGAAAGATAAGCAAAAAAAGCCTTTATTAAAAAAACCCCAAGCCCTTATATAATAATACAATAGGAACTTATATAGCTTACCTACTTACAAAGATATATATTAGATTTAATATATAAACAGTAGGGTTTCAGAGAGCTCATTCTTATGAATTAGTAATAAATTTTTTGGTACAAAGCAAGAAACTTTGCCCTATTAACACATTCTTACAACACCTTTATTTCAATAAAAAACAAGTGTCACTGCAGTCACATAGAAAATCAAGATAGGAATAATTAGGACAGAAGCAATATCAGTAAATGAAAACAATTAGATATTAATCACTCTTAATCACTTCTAAAAAGTACTAAAAAGGAATAGTTATGAGTATTTAATCACCTATTATTTAACAAGTCCAGAGAAGAGCCGTGATGATGATTAGAGGGATGGAGTGGAGTTTGTGCTGCTTCAGGAGCAGAAATGGGTGGCTGAAGTTAACTTGTCCTGTGGAATGAGACTGATGCAGCAACAATCAGCCAGGGTGTGCCACAGTGAGATTTGACAGGGACTGCACATCAGAGCCCTGAATTATTAAAAAACACCTTACTTTATAACAGACTATCCTGTCTTATGAACAATGATGTTATCGAGCACTCTTTGCCTCATTGAGCAGAAATATTGAGAGTACCTGAACAAGGTGAGAGCACTGCTGGTAAGAAAACACAAAAGCTAAATTGAATTCTAAAGTGATATTTAAATTGTTTTTCTTCCAGGCCTCTTTCCTTCCCCTTGTTTTTCCTGCACTGTTACTAAAGTCAGGGTCACAGTAATGGTTATCCATTTTGATACTCATTTGGGTGGCAATTTCCAGAAGGGTTTGTTGTTCCACCAGCAGTGCTGGGTTGGGTTTTTCCCTCCTTGCTGCCTACACCTCCTCATGGTGTTTGATACTCATTTGGGTGGCAATTTCCAGAAGGGTTTGTTGTTCCACCAGCAGTGCTGGGTTGGGTTTTTCCCTCCTCATGGTGCTTGGTTGCAGCTTAGCCATCCTGGGAAGTGTCTGCCCAGACAAACACTTCCAGTGCCTTTGAAAGGGTTTCCATCTGCACAGTCAGTGGTTTCCAAGTCCGGTTTCAGGCATTTATCTTAGGCAATAGACAAACAAAAAAACCCTTTCTCTTTATGCTGATTGTTGAAAATGGACTTTATATTTTTAAATCCTATGCTTCATAAATGAAAAAAACCAAACGTTTCTCATTTTATGAAACAGAAAAAGCCACTATAGCCAGCACTGAAGGTACTCTGCCCAGTTCTGGCCCAAGTGGCCTCCCGGGATCCATGAGGGAAAATGTTGTACAACAGACCTTGTGGTGCTGGGAGCTGTTTCCTGCTGTCAACCACTATCTGCAGTGACCTTCCTCTTGGTTCACATTGCAGCTCCTTTATAGTCTGGGTGAGATACCTGCCCAGCACCCAGCCAGCGCTCATAGTCCAAAACATTATAGTACAGGAAGAAGATCCATAATACAGTGCAGGGCACAATTAAAACATGGGATTGAGTAGCAGCTATCTGGTTTTAAATAAATCATCTAAGAAAGTGCATCTGATTGTGAACTATTTCAGAACTATTTCTGGCTTTAAAAGCTTATTCTATCATGGTCAAAGAAACATTTAAAATAGCTCATGCTCAAACTATGATAATTCAGAAGATAAAGCAAAAGAGAAGAATAATGTGCCATTATGGAGAAATCACATATTCAGTCTGTCAGGTTCACAACTTGGAAAGATAGCTCCAGGTTTGTATATTTCATATTTCTTTTCCCTGGTTATTTTTCTTAAAGAATAAATCTTCTGGGCATTTGGTAAAATGACTGAAAATTACCATCAAGCTTTGATCACATAACTAACCTTGATCAATGAATAAAATTTAAAAAAAAGACTACTTGTGTATTATATTCTACTCTCTCATCTCCTATGCTGAGTGT